ACCCGAATACAAGCCTAAAAAAGAAATGTGACGACCAATCAAATGCGCGAACGTTTTTGCAGATCATTCTAGAACCCAATTTCTAAATATAGTATATTCCCTGACTATAATATATTACATCTCTGATGTTAAATTTATTTCTGCACAAAATAAAAAGAGTATTAGTAAAATTTTTTAACTTTATTGAACCAATTAAATTAAAATTAAAAATCTGGGTGTATAAATGATCTATTTGAGAGTAAACCATATGAATTAACCCAAGAACAAACTACAGCTTATTTTAAATAACTTTCTATAATAGATATAAAGTGCATATGCACTTTAAAAATTTTTACACTATAGCTGTATAACAAACTCTGCTTCTATTACTGTATATACCAACTTATGCAATTATAAGTTTTATAAAAAAACAAATATAATATAATATTTTTTTTGATTATCTATTTGCTGCTATATACAATACCTGCATAATATGACAAATAAAAGATAATTTTTAAAATATCATGTATATATGTGATATATAATGCATATGATTTTGATTTATGTTATCTGTTATATAAAAAATCACATCATATCAGGTATAGTATATAGAGGTAAACAGATATTTTCTTACTTTTTTAAATCTTCGCCTCTTTCAAACTGATTTAATACATGCTGTATATATTTTTTTTATATTTAGCTTTAAAGCTATTGATAACCTCTGCATCCTTCAGCTGAAGGTGAGCCATAGTTTTGGGTAATAAAAATTTAATTTAGATATTTATTAAACAAATATTAGAAGGATTTGGAATAATATAGAGACGATTAGTGCTATGACCGCCTTTGCTGTGTCCATGCTCATATTCATATTCATATTCATGTCTGTGATCATAACTATGACCACAACCATGACTGCGACTATGACTGTAACCATGATCATGACCAAGACCACAAAGAGAATCTCACCCTTTTTGCTTATTAATGCTATTAGCACTTAACCTCAGATAACTATGTCAAGTATGCAGAGTATAGATGAGCTTATATGAGTTTCTTTATTTAACTTTTCAGTTTCTAATTCTTCAACTTCTTCACTTTTACTTTCTGATTCTTTATTACTTGATTTTTCATTATTTTCTTCTTTACTCAATTCTTTATTAGGATTATAATAGCTCTTTGCACCTTTAACTAACAACAAAATTTGCCAGTTTGCTAAACGAAACTTTTCATCAAGTTTTGTGAGCCATTTACAGAAGATTTCAGTTCTCATCCAAGCTGTTAAATTTGCATAATATGTTACTGGCAAAGCATCATAATTTAAATAAACTAAAGTCTTAGGTTCAATAGATAATCCGATTATTATTGGTTATAATTTTTCAGTTTCAGTTGCATTTGCTGTTAGCATAATCATAATATGTGCACAATCCTAAAGGCAAGTTATAACTAAAATTAATAACAATAAACTAAATAAATCTACTAAGCTATATTTATACTTACTGCTCAAATCTCAAGCTATTATAGTTTGGGTTTTCTAGACATGTAGACAGATTGCTGTAATTTGATATAACTCATAATTACAACAAATTGTGTCAATCTGCCTGCACTTTTAGTTTGTTTATACACAAATTTCAAATTAGTCAAATCAATATCTCAAAAACCTTATTAACAATCTTTATTTAAGCAAATAGTATACAAAATATAAGGTTTTTTTTTTATTAATAGTAATTATTTTAAAGTTAGAGATTTTATAAAGATATTGCTGACAAGTATAAATCAAATTATAAAAAACCTTTTTCCATTCTGATTGTGGTTGCGATACGAGTGTTTGATGTGATACTATTCTAAAATATAATACAGTTTCATATGTATTAAAAACATTATTTAGAGGATATTTTTTAATTATTTTATATAACTTAGCTCTTTGTTCTGGAAGTAATTCTAATGCCATACTATTAGCCTCTATATGTAATCAATAGTTCTACAAATTATTCTTTTTCTTAAACTTATAAACCCAACTATTAGAAAATTTTAATACATTGTCTGGTAAGGCTAGTGCGCAAGCAAAAAAAATTGCCTTTTCCTTAATAATTACTTCTATCAAAAAGATTTGACTATCTACAATCTGCTCAACCCACAACTGCATAGCTTTATCTAATAAAGAAAATTTAACTCTTTTATAATGAAAAACATCTATGTTGGCTTATTATTAGTAACTGCCAACCATTTATCCTTTTTTTAAAAATCTTTGAAATGGTCAAACACTCAAAATTTAATATTGAATTTTTTTAATTAAAATATTGTGCAATGTTTAAATGTGTTTCATTCAGATTATTATTGTTATATTTACAAATTTCATATTTTAAACAGCTACTAATAGCTATTCTTGCTCTTTTCCTTGACATGTCTATCTTATAGAAAAATTTTATCTATAATAAAATAGTGAAACATTATTTATAGTAAATTTTATCTACACAAATTTTGCTTACAGCAAAAATTAAATACGGTTAAATCTGACCATAAAAATCTGGTTGTATTAAGTTTTAATCACGATAAATTTAATTTATGATAAAGCTTGATTTATGGCGAAACTTGACTTATAGTAAGTCTTGACCATAGCAAAATCTGTTATAATGATAAATAAAACTTGATAGGAAATCTATTAAATCATGAGAAGCAACATAACTCTGGATATAATTTCAAAAGGAGTGTAGCATAAGAAGATCAAAAATAAATATGAATAATAATACTAATATATATGTCTAATATAAAGAATCAAGTACATGTTTGAATATGCTTAAAAAAATTCTCACAGCCCTAACCTACTCCAAAAAACATAAAGCATATGGTTCTTTTATTTCTTCACTTGGCTAGTTTAAGCAAATAGAGAATAGCCCTACTGGTTAATCCTATAATAAATGAAGTTATGATGATAATTATAACTTTCTTCTATTTTGGGTAACTTGATTAATTACTTGCTTTTCTATAATGTATTTTGCTAACTATAAATTTAATACCATAAAATATTATCTTTGGTTTAAGCATATGTATCTGCTGTATAATGCTGTCATAGCTTTTGATAACTATGAATTTAGCATGCTACTAAATAAAATTGACTACTAACATCTTAAATATAGAGGTAAGAATTTATCAACTATTACTGATATTTTACTTAAAACGAGAAAGAAAGTAATTTTTTATTTTTTCATATATATTCAACATTTGACTTTAATTTGTTATATCACTTACATTATTAACCTTTTATTAACTACTCATACAATCACTGATTATTATATTGATTTTATACTTTTATCGCAAATTATCTTTTGATTGATATGACTAATTAATAATTCACAACAATCATAATCGAACTACATGATTATGAGACTACAAATTCGAACACGAAACCAATCCAAATGCAATAAGTATTTAATATATTTTTTTGCATTTTTTTTTACTACTAATTTTTCTTTTCAATTCAAGTTCTCTTCAGATCTTTAATCTGACTGTCTAGATTGATTCTTAAATCCAGATAAATTTAGACATCCAGATCAGAGATTTTTACTCAAATTGGTCAAAGAACTTAAATAACAGACATATAAATAGCCTGTAAAAGACAGAATTAGAACACTACTTCAACTACTACACTACATACAACATATTTCAAATTATAAACGAAAATTATTTTATCATTATAAAGGTTCTATAAATAGTTAAAATTTTGTCATGCAATAGTAACTACTAATTTAAAAATTTTTTATAATTTTTAATTAGCCAATTACAATTATGCATTTATAATCAATAAAAAAATTGTGATTATGAAGAAGTATTTTTTTTAATAAATTGGGTTAAAAAATGTTTAAAAAAATATGATAGTAATAATACTATTAATATGATTATATATAGGTATTTTTAATATTAAAAAAAATAACTGTATAAAATCATGTGATTATATAAAGTTTGTGATTATGTGGGAGGTAATTGTATGGGAGGATAATAATAGTTTAGACTCACAAGTACTTGTCTTTGGACTCAACATAAATTATTAAAGTAAACTAGGTAATATAGTAATAGTAAGTATCAGACTACTCTAATAGGTGATAACTTTAAGGATAAATTAGTTAATTATACCAATAATTTTATAGGTAGTTTACAACGATTTTGAAACTTGAACTGACTAATATATTGTAAGTTTTAAGTGAGATTAGATGAATTGACATAGAAAATTCAGATCAGAAGGTTTAAGAGTAAAGTATCTATAGATCATTTTTCATATGATCTATATGACAAATTAAAATTTTATATAAATTGCAAAATTCGTCTCTGATAAAACTTTTTAGAATTGTGACTAATATTCACTAAATTTTTGTAGCATTTAATTTAGAATCTCTTATTTATAACAGTAAAATTATAAACACTATATTTTTTAAAAAAATTCAACTTTGTATATTAATAAAAAATCTTAGATGATCACGAATTTTCTTAGGTTATACAAAAATAACTAATTCTGATTGGTTGAATCTATTGTTTTGACAATTTTGATTGGTCAATTACATGATTTCCTATGTAAATTTTAATTTGCCATGTAGATCATATGAAAAATAATCTATAGACACCTTACCCTTAATTGGGTAATTTAAATAATAGATAGATTATAAGTATAACATCTAGTATAGAACCTAGTAATAGGCAGACTACTTAAATTAGATGCTCAAAAAGTGCAGGTATGGCTAAAATGTACTCTTATCAAAATATACTTGTCTAAAACCCCCTTGAAAAGGCAAAAAGCCAAAGAGACTAACCTTAACTACAAAAAAAAAATTATAATTCTTAATTTAAACTATAAAGTTGTATTAGAAACTGAGTCTAAAATTAATATTTAAAAAGTTTATCATAAATAAATTAAAAAATTTTTGGTTTAAAAATTATTTTTAAAATTGTATATTTTTGATTTATAAATAACCTAAAATTTTTTCTTATAATCACCATTAATATTAAAAAAAAAAATTTTTTTCTTATATTCTAAAAATAAATACTGCAAAAAAGTAATCCTTATTTTCAAATATAATTGTACAAAGTTTTATTTAATTATTTTAGTTTTTAAAAATAGTAAATCAGAGCTAAAAAAAGTACAAAAACACAGACAAATTTGCCTGCATTCTACTACAATCTAAGGGATATATATATAAATATATATACTGCATATATATTAAATTTTTGTGAAATTTAAATAGATGCACTGTACAGCCCTAATGGTTTAATATCTTGAAACAAAATTTGCAAAAATTAATATTATCTTACTAACAAAATGCGAACTGTTACTTTTAAACATGAAAATTTTAAATATCCTTTTTTTTTTAAAACATAGTAAATTTTATTTTGCAGGCCGTGCGGGCCGACAAAAGTACTATATTCTATAGTGTTATAATAGCACCCAGATGTAGGTTTTCTAAACAGGTACGTACGTAATTTGTAGAGATATAATATTGGCCTTTACAAAATTTATTCTAAAACAAAATATTAAACCGCTAAGATGTATAATAGGATTTGTCATCGGTGTGGTTTCATCAAGCCAATCAAGATTGACAAACTTCAAAATTTTCAATCCATGATAATTCTGCCTATGAAACCAATTTTCGTGTCTTAACAAAAAAATATTCCTTGCAAAACTTCATTATATATTATGACCTACTCTGGCCTAAATCTAACTCTAAACGAAATCCAGTTACTGTCACTAACGATTACATATATAGGACACATCGCGCATCACACTGGGACATGCCCTCACATACATATATCACAGAATTCGATTACAGAAATTGGTTTTTGTAAGCACAACAAATCATCCTTGGTACGTACGTACGTACGTGAGCGTGATATCTGCTGGTGGTCTGATGTTTTACGCTAAAAAAATTGACGTCCCTGGACATGTGATAAACGCATTCTCTACTTATTAACTGTTTCTCTCCGTACTATGCCCTAAAGCAGAAAATAACATTAAGCCTCTTGATAGTCGACCAAAAAAGGTTTAATTCTAAGCCACATCTATCCAAAATATATTCTTTGTGACTAAGTCATCGTGATTATTTGATGAGGATTATCATGCGAAAATGAATACGTGCTTCTCGTGTTTACTTTTGTTTTCAGATAACAAAAAGCCAAGTATGACTCTTTCACACAACAATTTTAGCATTTACCTGCTCGGATACCGTGAAAACGGCTTAGCGGTAGAAATGTATTTTTTGGGAAGTCAATGAAACATTGACGTTCTGAACTTTTCAAAAAAAGTTTTATTATGTGTAGATAACATATGTAGTTGTTTTTTTCTTTTCCCGATTCTCGACTTATAGTTATTGTAATATCAATTCTTCATAATAAACAATTAAAAAAAAACTTCTTCTACGCTTGTGTGCACGTTAAAATTCTAAAACTCATCATGGCATCAATCCCATCCACGAGATTCACTCGAACACAATTAATTAAATTTGCAATTGCAATTAGTATTATAACAATTATATCAAATATAGCTGAAGGTGCACTTTCGATGTTCTTCGGTCAACAGACAAGATCAGTTAGTCTATTAATTTTTGGCGTCGCTTCCTTTGTTGAAACTGCTTCCTCAATATTAGTCCTATGGCGTTTCATTACGGAAATTCGACAGAATATTGTCAAAGTTTCCGTCTCCACTATCTCCGCTACCTCTACCTCTTCCGCCTCTACTTCTTTCTCACATTTAGAAAAGGAACAAAAGGTAATTGAATTTGAAAGAAAAGGAACATTAGGAATTGGTTGTTTATTCATTATATTAGCTCTTGGTGCATTATCACATTCCATCATTACATTGACACAGAAAAATCATCCTGCAAACACGATAGCGGGTTTAATAATTTCCAGCATATCAATAGTATTCATGTTAATGGTATATGCGTTTAAGAGATACTTAGCTATAAAGTTGAACTCTTCAACAATGTTAAATGACTCTCAATGCTCATTAGCTTGTATTAAGATTTCCGCAGTACTTTTTTGTAGTAGTTTGATTTATCTGATTTGGGCAGAATTGTGGTGGACTGATTCTGCGGCAACTTTATTATTTAGTATTTTTTTTGCTAAAGAAGGTGGTGAGATGATCACCTGGGCCAAAGACAAGAATTTTACCGGTGGATATAGTAGTCAGATAGCTACCAATGGCGAAAGACAAGGTAGTAATTGTAAAACTGATGAAGAGAGTGAGATTGGTACTAATAAGGAGAAAGGGCGACACTTACGAGTTTCAGTAAATGATGATGAACAGGTTGAAGAGTCTACATCTATTGGAGGTGCTTGGTGGAGAGAAAATGGCACAGATATTGAATTGGAAAATTTGGCAAAGAGCGTCAAAAATGGAACTGAGACTTCATTTTCTATCGCTATCGTAGCACATTAGGATGCAATTTTTTTTGTATTTATTAAAATAACATCTTTGAACATGTATATAGGATAATATATATTATGAAATACTCTATTTTTATACGAACAAAACATAATCGGTCACGTAGTTTTTATTATATAACGAGTTGTTAACAATCTGATAGGTGTCTAAGACGGTGGTGTCGCGTATTTTCGTAAGTTAATTAGGATGTTAATACTTATATTTATTACATATTACTGTTTTTAGCTTAAAAATGGACTCTAAGTACTGTATATATATCTAGTTAAAATAAATTTCAGATATATACACAAAATAAAATATTATTTGTAGAAAAATCTTTTGTAATATTATAAATATACAGTATATAAAAATTTACTAGTTTAGGAGTAAATTATAAATTGTAAATTTAACTATATAAAATTGACCAATTATAAAAGTTAGATTATATAGTTTGTAATATTTTATTTATTTTTTATTTTTATTTTTTTTTAAGGTGAGGTTTTTGCCTTTATCTTTATTTATATTTGTATTAAAGATCCTCCAGGGATCTTCTGAACCGAAGCTTGATTACAGGTATAATATCGGTATAATAATACTATAAAACATAAGGTTATTATACCAAAATTTTTTTAATTATACCAAAATTTCC